TTTAGATGGTCGGCACATCGACTAGGTGCTACCTTCTAACTTTCAAACTTAACTGTTTATTAAGTTCATTTATCATAAAATAAAACACATTTAACGTTATCAATTTTTATCATTAGTTTAGGGTACCTAGCGTTGTTATGTCTGTTGTGTTATTCTATTGTTTGTTAAAAATTATATTGGACGAACTAGACTCCTACTGGGAGACTAGCTTGCCTCTGGCGGCAGACGTGTAAGCTCTAGTTAAGTTAATGGTTTTTGTAGATGACGCTGCTGTCGCTGCTTGACGCATCCCGACTGAGCAATAAGGCTGTCTTTTCCCCCCTAGTTTACCTATTCCGTATTCATCTTTTCTGCCTTACCTACCAAGTGCCTACCTACTTTCAATAGGTCAGCGCCGCCCCTGCATTTGAACATTTACGAAGTAGTTTTGATGCCTTCATATCATGTTACGTAGCTGCCAGTGGTAGTCGGACACCTGCTACACGGACGCCCATAAGTACTGGTTGACCTGGTTGACCTGACCTGGCCTGCCCCGACATGGCCTAAAGGCATGAAGACATCATCTATGATCCAAACTAACATGAAATTCGTGATCAGCACAAAAAATCTATTACAGCCTTACTTTAGGAGGTTCTGACAGGCCCTGATTTTCCCGTCTTTTGGGTCTGTGACCTGACCTGGGCGGTGTTTCACGGCACGCTGCCAGCGCTGTTGGCACTTTTGGTTTCCATGGAGACATCAACTAGCCTAATACCTACATCACTACCGAAGGTTGACCTTAGCTCGCGGAATGCGCTGGCAGCGGCTGGCAACGCGACCGTGAAACACCGCCCTGGAAGGTCAACCAATGACCAAGGACCTTAAAATCGGGTATCATCGGCTTCCTCTCGTCACTGACAGGCAACACACTCGTTTTTTCCGCGAGCTCTAGCTTGATCAGGGGCCGAACGGCAGAGAGGTTCAACCGACACCTCCCAGCCCGCGAAGGCTGCGCCAAGCACCGACCCGGAGCGGTGGTCGACAAAAGCAATTTGAAGTGTTTTCAAAGTAATATTAAGGCACGGGTTGAGTGGGCTACCATTTCTCTCTCTATTTTTTTTTTAGTTAAAAAAAATTATCGTTTCAGGGCTGTGACGAAAAATAAGTGGCCTAAATCCGATGAGAAAACAAGATTTGGGGGTACCCTAGGTTTGGCTCCTTGCACGAGTTGGCCCCCCCCCCCAAAACGCAAGTCTGGATCCGCCAGTGGGCGGAACTCGACGTAAAACACCGCACCAGGCAGACGCTGTAGTGCTTTCAGGTGATGCCTAAATTTAGAATCCGACCCCCTTCCATCGCCTGCAGCAGCTTATCTTCGGTCAAAACCCGCTACTCCTTATTTTTGCTTCTGGTTGAGAGTTTTTGGTCGTAACTATGGTATGTATGTAAGTACATGTTTAGACGTTCTCCCTTCGTCAAACAATGCTTTCGATTCGTCGATTCGGATCATGCATCAAATTCGGAGGAGCTGATCACTTTCAGTTTCGACTTTTGAGACACTGGTTTTCCTCAAACAATGCCAGGTAGCCATTAGAAAAGGCACCTAATTATCCACAGTGGCGCCTTTCACTGTTCAGGTGTCGATATGCTGATGACGACATCGACACCTTTAAGTAGGTAAGCCACCTGCCGCGCCGAACCCACGTCAATTATTCAGTCGGGACACAGGGCTTGGTCACGGCTGTGAGGGCCGCCACAGTCCCAGCCCATGTAGGTAAAGACAGATGTTTGGGTTCTGTTGGAATATTCAACAGTCACCAGCTGATGGTCGGGGGCTTGTTTTTAGCACCGCGAGACGTCTTCCGAAAAAAATCGACCACTTTAGTACGCATTGGCTTTGGAAAGGAAACCATTGGGAAGGAGCACTATTGTCATTTCATTGCAAAATGAATGTTAATTTGTGGTGTTCGATTCATTAATAGGTATTCAGGAAAATCGTTGTTTTGACATTCATAAAGCTTTTTATACAGAGCCAAAGGGTAGATTCCGTATCGTCCAAAACAAACGGCGGGTCACAGCCATGTGCAATCAGCAATATGCATTAAGCATAGTTTAATCGCTGTTATAAAACGGACACAACCACCGCTTTAACCCTATTCCTGGCGGGGGGGGCCTCAGGAGCCCCCCCTGAGGTTTTTTGGTTATTTCTCCCAAACGCGTTGAGCTAGGAAGCTCAAATTTTCTGACTTTCCCTCAAAGGCTTCTACGCAACATGTCTGAAAATTTTGAGTTGATCTGACCTCAGGTCAGGTCACCAGAGGCGGTTTGGTGACCCTACCTCAGAAAAGTTTGCAATCACGCCAGAGCTAGAGTTTTTGACCGATCAATTTCTTCTCTTCAGGCTTTAGTTAGGGTACCAGTATGTGCAATTTGTATATCTCGGAATTTTGATATCGGTGACCTAAGGTCAGGTCAGTTTCGCGACCTCCCCATTATAAGTCAATGGGGGAAAAATCAACTCCCTGTTTTTACCACTAAAACGGGTCGGAATGGCCCCATATACCATACATGACTTCATATACGATCAACCTTCACTACCTTGAGGTCTGTTTTGCTGTTGGGCAGCTGTGAGGTCATGTGACGTCATCAAAGGTCACCAAAGGTTTTTGGCCAATAACTCCGTACAGGAACACGATACAGACGCGTGGATGGTCTCATTGTGTTCAGCTCGTCAAGACGCATCGAATGGTATACATGATGACCTCGAGGTCACGTGACCTGAGGTCAACCTTTGACCTTGACCTTTCGAGGTCAACATATATATCATTCGATGCGGATTGACGAGAGGATCACGATGATGCCCTTAGCTTGTTCCTATCTTGACTAATTCGAAAGTTATTCGAGAAAAACTCTCTCCATATCTAGCGCCGCCATTTTGACTTTTTCGACCCCTGTGACGTCATCTTTGACCTGACCTGAAAATGACCTTAGTAAAAATTGTAGACCTTGTCCATGCGTATCCGATGCCGTTTACCACTTGTCGCTATCTTGCTTCGTTCTCGAGATCTCAGGGGGGGGCGAATCGGCCCCCCCCCCCCCGCCAGTTTCTTGTCCCGGCGGAGCCCGCCAGGAATAGGGTTAAAAGCCTAGCTAGCAATTTATGATGGAATGACCTCCACCACATGCAGTGTAATATATGCATATTTCAGGGTACATGACCTCATCACTTTACCTCAATATATTTGTATCTAGTAGACACCGAGAAGGAATTTCGTAATGTCGATTGTCGTTGTTAAAAAAAAAGAATAAAACATATGGGGTGTGATTTTTTCAATGCTGTGTTTACGGATTTTGTTCTGCTCTAAACATCGATGACAGTGTAGCTACAATAAAAAAAAAATATGGTTGCCTGAAAATTTCAACTTAAACGACACAGGAAACTCAAGGCAGGGCATGCTTTACATTGATTACGCGTATTGGTATGACTGGAGCTACTTACCGTTTTTCCCCAATCCAGCAGCTTGATGCGCCACTTCTGTCACCTCATCTGTCACCTGCGCCACTTCCCTCACCTCCTCTGTCACTCTCTCCACCACTCTCTCCACTCTCTCCACTCTCAGACCGTCGCAGCACCAACTCTAGACACGGATGTTGTTCCAGCCTCCAGCCCCTGGCGACTGAGGTGTGCCTCCCTCCCTCTCTCTCTCCCTCCTCTGCCACCCACTAGCCGTGACCTTGACCCGGGTTGGCCCGGCGCACCCCACTGCCTCTCCCAGCGCCGCCTCTGCCGCCAACGTGCATGTATTACCCATATTTCACCCAGGAACTTGCAGCGGGTGGATTTTGTGCACGCGAGGCGTTAGGAATTGATGGATGATTTTCCAGACCCTCCATCTATCTTGGAGGCTAGAGTTATAAACTTGGTTAGCAGCAGGACCTCTAACCGTTAGGTTCATCAGTTTGTACAGGGTTTGCCTTGGTCTCTAGACAGACAGACAAGGACAATAGGTGACCTTCGTTATGCTAGCTGTTAAATCAGGTCATAACACGATATTTCAACGGCGGCAATAAGATGGTGGAAGCGGCTCATGGCTTTGCGTTATAGAACTTCTAAATAAGAGGGTTATTGGGGGGACAAAATGTAATCCTACTCTTTTTCGTAGACATCAAGGCATTCATCATGCATAAACACGTTTTTATGTAGATTTATGCAAAGGACAGCTGCATAAGCCTATGACCTTTACACCTCGTAGGGATGGTATCAAATATGATACCGGGGTGTCTGATCCTCAACTATGTTTCACAATTACCTTAGTTAAGTTTAAAAAATATCAAGTCTAGGTAAAGTTTTAAAAATATTAGGTAAACCTGGGTGCGTGTGACTGCCCACCTGAAGACTATAGTATGCGATTTGTTGCATTACTTTGTCGTATGGCCATGTCCTAAGACATGTGCATTAGATATAAGTTGCAAGGTTACACCGATCTCCGTCGGTATTTCGAATAAAAAAGTTATGTAACCAAAAGGAAATACCTACCAGTTCAAATGATATGCATTCTTTCACCTTACTAAATCCAAAACTAAACACACTTTGACCAGCATTTCCACGAACGAATCTGCTGGGCTGGCCCCGAGTAATTTACGAAATTGCCGCTGCTCATAACAACCGTGCCTCGTGCCAGCGTCAGTGCATGGAAATCGACTACAACTGCCACATTATGAAACTACAACTGCAGGCATCGACCATTCGAAGGCGCCTCCGTGCCATTTTCGCCGTGGGCGATTAGCCCCGTGACCTTCATGGCGCCACGCCACCCCGTCGTATACCCGGTTTGTATGTCTGTGTGTCTGTGGATGTGTGTGGAGCTGGCTGCCTGGGTAGTCAGTGTAGGTGTCATGACTACCTGACTCCAAATACCGGCGCGGTGAACGGTCAGGGCAGGCAGGCCCGGGCGGTGTAGACCCACCCCTTTACACAGGGTAAGGTGTCGCGAGTATAGCCTCCGGCGCTTTGATTTGATAGAGTATACGAGTGTGAGTTGGGGCGTGGTAACTGGCATCCCTGTGTAGAGGCTACAGAGAGTGTCAGAGGCCGCTGATCTCCAGTGACCCGTGACCTCACCAGGTCACAGAGGCAGATATGGCGAGGATCCTTCTGCTTCTATTGGCTACTGCAGGTGAGGACTAAGTTTATGTACAACATTTAAGTATCGCGATTGTCTTGGTGTGTACCATGCTCTATAAGATAAACCCTCGCATGTGTGCGGCGTTTGCCAGCTTCTAATGTGTAGGGGGGGGGGGTCGGTTGGACCCCCCTTGCCGTTTGGCCCCTGATCGAGCTAGAGCTTCGCGGAAAAAACGAGCGTGCTGCCCGTGACAAGAGGAAGCCGATGATACCCAATTTTAAGGTCCTAGGTCGTTGGTTGACCTTCCAGGTCAGGTCAATGACCCAAAGTCGGGAAAATCGGGACCTGTTAGAAAGTCGTAAAGTGTGGCTGCTAAGGGTTTTTCGGGGTGCTGATCACCAATAACGTGTTAGCTTTGATCACAGATGACGTCTTTAAGCATTTAGACCAGGTCGGGTCAGGTCAGGTCAGGTCAACCAGTAGGGGTCGTGACGGGTATTCGTAGTACGTGTCAACCGCCTCTGATAGCTTTGTAACATGTTATGAAGTCACCAAAACTACTTCATAAATGCTCAAATGGTTGCTAAATTCGAATTCAGCTCCAAAAACTAGCCTAGAAACATGTAAAACTCGAGAAAGTGAATCGAGGTCACCAAAGGTCAATGACCTGACCTTCAGGTGACCTTGACTCCCACCCTAATGCATGGGAGCAACGTCAAGTCACATGTTTGAACGTTTGAAACCACGAAAAGCTTGCAAACGCGCGGCTAAAGCTCAGGCTACACTATCAGCGTTTTTTCGGTTTCTGCGTGATTTCGGTTTCCGCGTTTTTACGGTTTCTGCGTTTTTTCGTTCCGGGCGGCCGCCGCGTGGACGTGTTGTTTATTGCATACTGATGGATAAGCGATCAAATTAATTAATTATTCATGTTAAATGTTATCGTGTTTTAACAAAATTATAATTGAATACTTTTTTAAAGCATTTTACAACTAACAAGAATATATTTTCGATCATAATCATTTGTCAGCTTAATTACAATTATCATATTTGAAGTAGAATGATGAGTTTTGAAACACATCTTGTCTTCTTTAATCATGAATTACACCATTTTCATTATTTACATTTGAAACTGTTCCATCGTCACAATATTAGTAGCAACAATCACTTCTAATCATTCATCACTAAAACGAAATCCCGCAGAAACCGAAAAAAAGTTCACAGCTATGAACTTTTTTTCGGTTCCGACTCGTCGGTTTTTGCGGGTTTTCGTTCCACGGGACGCCAGACTGGCAGCTTGTAGCTCGCGCAATGCATTCGCTATGAGGCGAACTTGACGACGCGAACCGAAATCCCGCAGAAACCGAAAAAAAAACGTCGGAATTCATGCTAGTGTAGCTTAGGCTTAATGCGAGCCGACATACGCGGAATCGCGATTCCGGCCAAACATGGTCCCGGAAAAGAGGTCACAGGTCAAAGGTCATTTGGGTCAGGGTCATGAAATTTTCAGGGTAGGTGTAAAATTAATCAATGCGAGGGTACTGAAAGTTTCGTCGCGATCGGCCGCTTTTTACGCGAGTTATTTGCAAAAAACCCAGGGGGGTCCATCCGACCCCCCTACACATGCAAGGGTAAATAAGATTGGAATACATATATTCTTTGTGTATTATGTTCATTGTGTTTACGACTGAATATTAACATAAGCCAATACCTACGCGCGTGAAAAGCCAGAGAGTTATCGAAAATTGGTGGTCGGACTTGTATACAGGAACATCTTTCAAAAGTTCGTTATATTTAAGATCAAAAGGGAGAAGAAGCGTTCATACAATTATTGCAGGTACAAATTGAGCCTTATGCCGCACCTAAAATGTTCATTTCGCTCTCGCTGCAGCTGTGCTACAACACGGTTCTACTCAGGACGACTATAGCTATTACGACGACAGCTACTACTACTACTACGATAGTTCCTACGACTACTACAGCGACTACTATAGCGACTACAGCTACAGCTACGACTATAGCTACAGCTATGAAGACGACACGACAACCGGCGAAGCAGGTACTTCTGTAGCCTCTCCCAAGGACCCGGTGGTCACTACAGTAGCCTCTCCCAAGGACACGATGAAAACTACCGTTCCGTCGACTGGGAAGCCAGCAACTTCTGTTGTAACTAAATCAACTACCGCCCCCACTAAAACTACAACCACTAAAACAAGCGTTTCCAAGGGATTGACTACCGCCCCTGCTAAAACTACAACCACTAAAACAAGTGTTTCTAAGAGAGTGACTGCCCCTACTAAAACTACAACCACTAAGGCAAGCGTTTCCAAGGGATTAACTACCGCCCCTATCAAAACTACAACCACTAAGGCAAGCGTTACCAAGGGATTGACTAACGCCCCTACTAAAACTACAACCACTAAGGCAAACGTTCCAAAAGGTGAGGCCTAAAGCACAAAACAGAAAACAACAATGCCATCGCTTCTGAAGCTTGCTGAGCATTGCACGTTTGTGCCTCGCCCTGCTTATCTTATCTGCAATGGATGACATACCAAGCTGCTTTGCTATACTAAATTGCGACCAGGCTAGCTAGCATTTAGATTCCGGACGTTCCGGGTCCAGAAAGCTAATTATCAGACAGCTCTACGAGTTTTAAAACCGCTCACCGATTTTCTTGCGCACTGAGTTTATCCCCACACTACACACGTCTTTGGAAAGTATCCCTTGAACTTAACACATAATTCGAATGATTTTAAGAGTGGCTTGTTTTGACCATTGCTGTACATACAGACTATGCCAATGTCCATGTTAATGATGATTGATTTTATTTTTGACTTTGGTCTTCATGAACGTCAATGTGCATAGAAAAACAGTGCCCAATGTTTCATTTGTTTGCCTGTCATCTTACCTATGTACAGATGATATTTGATAAGAATGGCCTTTGATTACTTTGTGCATCCATTTACGAGTTGTGTTACTTCTCATAAACCATAACGATCAATATAAAAATACGGTTCAAAAGATCATTTTTGCCCATTTTTCCACAGCTGCCGCTGCTCCAGCACAAAAGACCAAATCTACCACGACTACAAAGGCGACCACAACAACCAAAAAGCCAACCACTACAACCAAAACGACGACCACAACCAAAGCAGCGACTACGAAGCCAACAACTAAGGCAACCACGGCCAAGTCGAATGTTCAACCAAAAGCGGCCGCCAGTGGTCCTCAAAAAACGACACCAGGAGGAGGTGCCAGCGGTCTCCGGAGCTGTGGTGAGGAGAGAGAGAGAGAGAGAGAGAGAGAGAGAGAGAGAGAGAGAGAGAGAGAGAGAGAGAGAGAGAGAGAGAGAGAGAGAGAGAGAGAGAGAGAGAGAGAGAGAGAGAGAGAGAGAGAAATGAATGATGAGAGACAGAAAGCGAGTGAAGAGAGTGAATCAATAATTCAATCAACCAACCAATGAGTGAATGAATGAATGAATGAATGGCAGTGGATAGAAAGGATCATAGATAACATGAATCTATGATTCGTGTTTCATGTTCTATGATTCATTCATTCATTCATTCATGTTCTATGATTCATGTTATCTATGAAAGGATATATCTTTAACAACTAGTGAGATGGTGCCAGCACCCAAAATGTTTTACCCTTCTGAATCCTGCTACTTTACTCTGTTCCCAGGAGGTTACCAGATCGTACTGCTGTTCGGGCCTCTGATCTACCGGATGGTGCACCAGTGAGCAAAACTCGCTAGCGTGAACTTCTGTACACATGTTGTCGAACAGCCAGTTAAAGCGTCCATCCTAGAAAACTTGGCTACCCTAACTTGTGGTGTAAAAGGTCACATTTCAGAGCTGTTGATCTATTTTTGACGAGTGGGCTACGTGTTCGGCTGTTCTTTTTCATGTTTCGCTGCGGGCTAAAAAGTGAAAGAGGTGTATTTTGACAAGTTAGCGTAAATGTGCGTGACTCAAGTGTGTGTACGAAAGCACAACAATTATACATCAATCGTGAACTCAGACCGATTGCGCTGGTGGTAGGTATGCGAGAGAGGCTAATAGTACCCAGAAGTGCATAGTAATTCTACTCGGACTTTGCTTGCAATTAGAGCACAAAGCTGCGACCAGTTTGCAACATTACTGAGCACTAACATAAAGATATGAGTCTCAATATGGATTGGTTATCGCATCAAATTTAATAGTCAATCAAAACATCGGACACTACATCTGTTTTTATATGAATCATAAGTCTATTATTTTCTTTTTCAGTGAGGCCCAGTGTCCATTGTAGAAAAGCAGCTGACAACTCATGCATATGCTCTGTGTATATAATACTTTATTGTCGATCGCCAGACGGTAGACACGGCTGTCGTTTGTGCGATGTGTACCAAAGCTCGAGACACTCGAGCCTAATAATAGATCATCGTAGATCATTCGAAAGTTCCGACCCGAGCGACTTCTTGTGGAGTTAAGTCCTCATTCAATTGCGATATAGATCATCGCGTAGCAATTCACCAGACACATTTTAGCCTCTCACATATCAAGCATACATGTCTTGGAACTTCTTGTAAGGTCCCAATGCTGTTTATTCTCAATATATGCGCTTGTCTAGGTTTTACTATTAGGTATGTAATGTTCTTTTGATTGTTTTCGCGGCGGATTGTCCATTTTGCGCCAGAGCTGTATAGATAAGTGAGATATTTAGAAATATTATAAGAATTAAAGAATGTACTGGTTTTGGATTGATTTAGACCTAGCGATGCAGTATAAAAGACTGTAATTGGTACCAGTGCTATTCTTCGTTACAACGGTACCTTGTATCATCGAAATAATGCTTTGTTATTCGTGTGAAGGTGCTGCTCAGAGCTCGTTTGTCGCCAATAATATACGTCCAGCAAATGTTGACGTTCGCTTTCGTTTTTTTTTTATTCTTTTAATTTTTTTTACATAAATTTTGTCCGAACCTTTTGATGGGAAGGATTCACAAGGACAGAGCCACCGCTAAGCGAAGCTTGTTGCGATGACCCTGCCCTCTACCCTCCGATCGCGCAGTTCCGATTCTATGGCAGAATTTGGAGTCCAAAGTTTAACGTGCGCACAAAGCCGCGCACGGCCGGTCCCCTCTCTGACTTCGCCTGGCTACGGCCTGCCACCAACCGCAACCATACCTGTCAGGAGGCCCATAAATGTCGAGCGCCCGTCGCGCTTCGAACCCGGACTGTCATAACCGGGAACGCGTGCTCTCACCACGCGGAGTCCAACGCTCTAACCAACTGAGCTACGGGACCGGCAATTGTCTTACATTTGGTTTTGCATTTGATTGTCTTACATTTTCATGATAATAGGTATGATCTTTCAATCCCCCAGCTTCTTTGTCTTTGCAACAGCCTGCCAGTGCATGACTAAATCAGAACAAAATGGCGGGCACCCAACGCTTTCACCTTACTCTTCACCATCATGTTTTTGCCTTCTCCTAGAAGGCATTTATTTATGTTTTTCTTTACTTTATCCACAGAGCAATATAGAGTAAAACGCCAAACGGCAAGGGAGCATTTAGCCGTGTTAAATCACTGTAACTGGTTGGGGTCTGAATATGGTCATTGGTCAGCCTGTATGAACTGTCGTGAATAGGTAATACACTGCTGAAGAGCTCAAGTGAACTCAGGCTACTTTAGAGCCATATCCCGTTGCAGAAGTCCATAGGCGGCGGAACGGGGAGGGCACCGGGGCACCGTGCCCCCTTGATTTTGGCATTTTAACATTAGCCCTATGGGCGTTGCATGGAAAGAATGGGACCAAGACTCGTCGGCAGTGCCCCCCCCCCCCCCCCTTAATTGAAGGTGTTCCGCCGCTACTGTGTAGAACTTCTGGGAACTCAGGTAAATCATGTAAATACCCACAACTGGCTCACAATTTCGCTGAACGTCATGGCAAATAGGCTGAACCATGAAAACCTTTATAATACAGACCGGTGCATACGTGCCCCCCCCCCCCCTCCTCACTCACGTGACCTTTCCTTTAATGCCCCAGCCCAGCCCCGCTGGGGGCACCTTTGACGTCAAGCGACCGTGCACCCATTAACCTTAGGGGGGAGCCGCAGGTCGGTCAATATCGTAAACCGCCCCAGGGCTAGTCAGCTGACTGCAACGCGACGCCAAGGGGGCAATTATAAAGCCATTTGGTGTGCATTGTGCGAGCTTTACGAATGAATTATGTTTGTGTAGACTTGTGTAGGTATAAAAGGTACCGAATTGAAAACTTGGAAAGTCCGAATTGTGTGCCGGAGCTGTCGCGAATACGTTCCTTTTTTAGTTTAGGGGAGAGTGGGGTAATTTGGCCGCTTTTTTTAGAAAACGATGTAACTTAAAACTGACGACACATTTCTGCATTTTCTCAACGCTGGCAGGTGTCGCATTCATTTTACTTTACTGGACAGTGAACTTGTAATGATAGAGTAATTTCTTATATTGAAATTGTGACGTATTACAAAGGTATGCAAGGCGGCCAAATTGCCCCACTAGCAGGGTTATTTGGCCGGGGGTGTGGGGCAATTTGGCCGGTGTTAGTTTGCGGTCGGGATTTTCTGTTACATTGCGAGTCAGCTTCAGATTCAGCAATGACGTGTGTCCTAGGACGCATTTACCACATTTTGGAGGTTGACTCATGGGGTCACAGGGGTCAAAATAACCAAATTAGCGGCTCTAGATGCGCAGGCAGTTTTTTACGAATAACTTTTGAAGTAATCAAGCTAGGCCAAAACTTCGAACACCATCGTAATTCTCGTGCCATTCCGCATCGAAACATATATGTGTTGACCTCGAGAAGTCAAGGTCAAAGGTTGACCTCAGGTCACGTTATCTCAGGTCGCTTGACCTCAAGGTCACGTGATTTCAAGGTCATCATGCATATCATTCGATGCGCCTTGGCGAGCTAAACAGAATGAGACCATTTGTGCGGCTGTACCATTTTTATGTAAGGATTTATTAGCAAAAAACGTTTGGTAACCTTTGATGACGTCACATGCTCTTACAGTTGACCAATCGGAAGTAAGGCATCAAAGTAGTCAAAGTTGGTCATGAATCATGTCATTTATGGTACAATTGACCATGAAAACTCGGCCGTCCCAGCATAGTGACCATGAGCGCACCGGCCAAGTTGCCCCGCTAGTCCCGGCCAAATTACCCCATATTGCCATTCTGAAAATTTTTGTGTATAAAGTCATCACGGCTGTACGGAATTAGATGAAATTGCTCTTGGAACCGCTGAACACCCCCAAGAGTGGCGCTATAATGTCTGAATTCGTTTTTAGCCCAAATACTACATGTTATACAACTTTGTAAACAGAAGTAAAATTTACCATTTTCTAATGAAATTAACGTTTTATTAATTTTGAATGAAACTACGAGGGGCAAAGTTTTGACATTTGTCCTCCAGTTATTTCTACCCATGACAAATGAATAGAGACTAGAGTTATTTCACTCACTTTTATTAGACATCGTACAGGTGGGGGCGGCCAAATTACACCACCGGCCAAATTACCCCACTCTCCCCTACATATATCGAATTTTGGGCTAGAAGCGCTGTCTGAAGATGACAGCTAACTCTGTTTTGCTTGCACTATTTTGTCATGCAGCTATCTCAGAAATTTAGCTCTTTGACTCTTGGTCTTGGTTAGAAATCTAGGAGAAGAAACTCTCGCCGTCACGTTGAGGCTATTATCACTCCCAATTGAACTGCGTCTTCTCTGAATGACGCCTGTCCTAGTCCTATAGCCGCTACGCCGTAGGTCCGGGTTATCAGCGTCTGCGTACAGTCAACGGCACGGACTCACATTACTATCAGTGACACAGCCGATAAGACTATCAGAGCGACTGATTCACACGCTATCAGCGTTTGTTGAGCAACGCCATCGCACGTCCGAGCGATAGAGGAAAAAGTAGCGAAAACTGGGGTTAGAAACGCATAGGAATCGTGTTTTTTTTTGCGAAAATTTCAGCTATGAAAAGTACACTTATGATTAGCATTGCAATATTTAGTGGTACCTGTTCCTAAACATTCTAGAAATTCGTCAAAATGCCATGAATCTATGACACAATGTAGTAGTATTTGGTGATTTTTCCGTCGAAGTTGGTCCCGATAGCGCCGGAGCGGCTCTCGATGCAGGCGACAAAGAGGCCTGACAGACGCACCTATTGGTGTGTGGGGATAGTACGCGGCTTCTGGTGTTACCTTCACTGAGACAGAGGATTTGCAAGACTCCGAGACAGGACTCTGAGACAGGTGAGGAATCATCGAGGCTTGGGAAGAACGGTGCAGAGACTGAATGATTCGAGAGACGGCCACGGGTAGGCTCAATATAAATCTGCCGTGTTTTTATAAGAATAGTTCGACATCTGGGAAACATCGCTCATTCGAGACTCATTCAGCGCTAGCATCAACTGCTAGCATCAACTGGCCCATTTTATCCCCTTGACTGTATATTGTGACCTAACGAGTATACCCTTATCTTTGTTGTGACCTGTGACCTGTGACATGTCAGCTATCGCCTTGGCTGAGTGATGCAGCCGTTCAATCACCTGTTATTTGGCATAGTATCACCCTACACCTATATCGTGCTATCCGGCACAGTATCACCCTGCTTTACTCTGTTATAGGGGAAGGTGGGGTAAGACGGACCAGCTAAGGTTTGAGGCCGCATATCTTGCTACACTGCTCTAGTAATTCATATTATTTATAGTCTTCGGAATGCTCAATTTTTGCTCTGTTGATATGTGTAAAGACTAAATTTCAAATTAAAGACATCTAGGTGGTGGATGCTCTTAAAGAGGGACATGTCAAAAACTCAGACAAGAAAAAACGTGGGGTAAGACGGACCACCCAGTAGTGCCTGCTATCCGTTCATGTGTGTTACACTTCTGCTCTGTAGTCTTGTAAGAAAAAGTAACCAGAATGGTAAAATAACAAAATGAGCCTTTATTCTTTACTCATGTGTGATGGAAGTGCAGCTTAAAGCTGGGAACATGTGTGTTGATTGTCGTTTGGCATGAATGCATGCTAACTGAGCACTTGCATGCATGGCTCACATGCAACAAAGACTTCTTCCTGAAAAATTAGCTTACTTAAACTTGTGTCAATGTTTTGGAAAAGAACTTTCCATATGCAGGGTACAATCGACCACCACAGGGTAAGATGGACCACAGTGGTCCGTCTTGCCCCAAATCTAAATTCTGTCATTATCATGACGTATATGTCAAATATGCCCAACATTGCAAAACCTTGCCTTTCCTAAAGTGTGACTATAACTAAGTTTATAACTTTGTTCTTCACAGTTAAGTGCAAAATAGAAACAAATCATGCAAGAAAGGCGCCGTAATTGAATCACCCGTAGACCTCTTATATTAGATCGGTTTGACGAAAAACAACATTTTTCTCAATAGCTCAAAAGCTATGCATCCTAGCAGCATGAGCTCAAGGTGGCCATTGTTACGAAGGAAAACAAACATAGTGAGTGCATAAAGCAGTAGATACCAGCAGCGGTTCAGCCGGGAGGGCTGGTGGTCCGTCTTGCCCCGCTGGGCCGTCTTACCCCACCTTCCCCTACGGCACAGTGCCTATCACCCTGTTATGTCGTGCAAGTCCTGTGCAGCATCTGACCCTGTATAGTGTACCTATACCCTGTCAGTGCCATCCGGTGCAGTATCGCTCTGCTAGGCATCAATCCTGCTATTCGGCGCAGTAGGTATAGTTTTACCCTGTTGTCCAGTGCAGTACCTATAACCCGCCACACTACCATGCCGTGTTATGTGCGATTTCACCATTCTCTGTCCTTCTTTGTCCTCAACCTGTAATATGACCCGTTATCCCTTGTAATATCATTCTACTCTCCATGTTATTCGTTTCAGTATGAAGATCCAGACTGGCGCAGGAGCCGAGTGCGGCACGGCCGCGGACAGGGAGCAGCTGGTGCCACCTGTCGGCCGCAGGAGAAGGCGAGCTTTGCTCGGTGACTGGCAGACGGCGCTGCAGGCGGTCACCATCTTCATCAGCCTCACGAGTCTCACGCTGAGCAGTGTGGTGTTCATGGTGCTGCTCTATACACCGGCCTCCACCACGCCGATGGGCCAGGTTAGAGCAGGACTGGAAACAGATTCTTCATTGGTGTGGTTTTCAAAGGAAGTGTCGCACCGACAAATCAAGGCACGAACGTTTAAAGGTAGTGTGCCAGCTTTCTTGGACCGTATGGAGTTAATGGCCCAGATAAGGAGAACCAGATTTTTAGAACTTATCCATACCTTCAAAACTCATGGAAACGTCTTAAATTCTTCAAATTTTGAGTACCCCAGTGCGAAATTCGCCCCGACGGGTTGTCGGTCGTACCCCAACCACATTTCACACCACTATGAACAATAAATGCACACACTGAAATCGCTATTACCGATATGATCATCCAATCAAGTTTCGATAAACCCGTTCATCATCATCTCCTGCGGTTTCGAACACGCCTGTTAGGTGGCTTCTGATGCTCGTCGAGGTCGGAATTTCCAAATACGCGTGGTGCGTCGGGCCGCGCGCTCTGACTTCGGCCAAGAAAAATGCGTCAGCTGATCATTGTCATTTCTGCCACTTGCGTGTGGTGAAATGGGGTCATAACTTATAAGACGGCTTTTTCATATCAATTATTTTACATAAAATCATATTTCAAACCATAAATAATGTTCGACAGCCAAATAAAAGAAACAATACCAATACGGGCTTACAGTTTAAGGCTCGACATTGTGTTGTCTACGATTAGACAGCTGATAACTCATTCCCGTACGTCGTATGGTCGTAACACTATTATGACCTTTGCTTATTGTCACAAGTGCGCCGCATTCGCGATTGTTGCCCGACGCCTGTTTGCAGGTGAGCCCACTACAGTTGTTATACATATCTGAAAACCGAAAAACTTTTAGGCGAAAAAGGCACTATTCCAGGCCCATTTTTGATTTTTTTTGCGATATTAGGTAAAAACAGAAGCTTCTTATCCTAGGAAAAATAAAATGGGAAATCTTTCAAAGGTGGCACACTACCTTTAAAGACCGCAGTTTAGTTGTTACTTACATTTTACCGAAATCAATTAGTCTTTTTGCCTTTTGAGCTGTTCTAGCGTTGTTTGTTGCGTTTCGGGTTCTACCAGCTATTGAGAACCTCAGCTAGCGCTATGCATATTGCATTGACGGAAGCTGAAGGGCTGGATAAACACTAGAGATGTCTCGACCACCTTCATTCCGAGTGCACAACCTTGACAAACAGAAGCCACTCGCTGGTAGGCCTGCAGACAAGATCCAAGACTACCGAGCTCTTTTGACAGGCAACCCAAAGGGGATAGAACCTATAGGCAACCCATAATTAGAATCTACATACGTGGAGGATCCAGACATACTTAAAGTGATCTTTATCAGTATCCGCTGAACCGTGACCTCTGACCTCCAACGACCTTTAATCGATCAATCTTTATCTCTGTCTTTTTTATCAACGATCTTTTATCTCTGTCCCTTTGGGCCGCTCACCATTGGTAGCTGGCCTCCGCTATATTAATTTCATTATCCATCGCTAAGCATTGATTTATCATGACCCCTGACATCTGACCCCCTGAGCCTGACCTCTGACCCGCTGACCCGTGACATCTGACCCGCTGAGCCTGACCTCTGCCCCCAGGCGCGCGACATGAACGACCTCCGTGAGGTGGTGGACATGCAGCGTCAGATGATCGCCCGACTGCAGCGTGAGGACAACTATCAGGATGCCAGGCAGAAGGTCAGGTCACTGAGGTCACTCACTGGGGTCAATGAGGTCACTGGGGTCACTACTCACTGGGGTCACTGGGGTCAAGGGGCTCTGGGGGGGTGGGGGGTTCATATAAGGTCATTAGGGTCACCAGGACACCAGGTAGAAGGTAAAGTCAATCAGGTCACTTATTAGGTTCACTGGGGTCAGAGGGGCTCTGGGGGCTCATATAGGGTCACTAGGGTCACCAGGACACCAGGTAGAAGGTCAGGTCAATCAGGTTACTTACTGGGGACAGCGGGGGTCACCAGCACGCCAGGCAGAAGGTCAGGTCAAAGAGGTCACTTATTAGGTTTACTGGGGTCTTTGGGGTCGCCAGGGTTAGTAATAGTGTGGGTCCTTGGGGCTATTAGGATCATTTAGATCATTTAGATGTGAGGGAAAACTCCAATTTACTAAAAACTACAACACCCCAAACTACAAAACTACAATTTAAAAAGACAATTTACTAGGTACTACCATGTAAACAACAAAAACAACAACAACCTAAACCACTCGTTTATTAGCTTATTCGCCGTGATTCGGAGGATCGGGATGTCGAATCCGACCTCTGAGGTCATTGGGGTCACGGTAAGGTTCAACGAAGCCCCCAAATTCGCCGCTTCCGGTTATGGAGGACACAGAACACCATGCTTGGTGAGTGTCGTGGTGCTCACGAAATTATGTATGGACGTATTTCTGGAATTGTAGGTATTTCTGTTGAAAGATGGGCCTGGTTCCTTGGAACGCGTTGTGAATACAAACTTACCGCATCACCGCTCATAGTTCGTACTTGGTTCGTGCTATGTTAGTAGATTCCATATACTATATACACCATGCAGAGGATGTATGAATATAGCGTTACATTACCCGGGTCTTGTGACGTCATAATGAAGGTGACTGCTGTGTGTTACAGGCGCTGCAGTCGGCGCTGGCTGCAGGATGATGACGTCAGAGTTTGTGACGTCACAATGATGTGGGTTACAGGCGCTGCAGTCGGCGCTTGCCGCCACTGATGACGTCAGAGTTTGTGACGTCACAATGATGTGTGTTACAGGCGCTGCAGTCGGCGCTTGCCGCCAGCGGGCTGATCACTGATGACGTCCGGGCTCGTCTGGAGGGCATTGAGCGCGCTCTCATGGCAAAGGTAAAATACCGTATACAGGGCGAAACGCATGGGTATAAGCCGGGGTATCCACTATCCATATGACGAGAACAGGCAAAAACCGGTGAACATTTTATTCCCGTGCTTATTAGAATCTGCACTCCTGTATACGTAGGAAGGTAGGTACGGCTCTCGCGGGTTTAAGCGGTAGGTTTTGCCTTTTTAAATTTCCGGCTATGTCTCAGGAACTATTCTAATCGATATACGATGAAGCTATTTTAGATCATGGCAGGCATGTGTACAAATGAATCGATCGCGATCTTCAACCCATACAAGCTTAAGACGAAGAAGATTAAGCCGGAAATTTATTAAATTTCGTACGGGCAAAACCTACCGCTAAAACCCGCGAGACCTTCGGTACTTTAGTGAAAATGGCGTGAAACTTTCCGCCTCTGGCGGGGTTCTGGCAGCTACTCGAAAGGTGCAAGAAATGATTGAACCATGAATGAGATATAGAGGATTCTTCATGGCTCCGAGTGGAAGATAAGGATATCTTTTCCAAGCGGGTTACTGAAAAACCGAGCGACGAAGGAGCGAGGTTTTTCTGTAACGCGCGAGGAAAAGATATCCGATCTTCCACGAGTGAGCCATGAGGAATCCTATATCTTTCTATGTTGAGGTTTATTCTTAATTAATAAAATATTATATTTAAATGCATTCATCTATGTAAAAAATAGATTCAGAGTATTTTTGTTCTTATTTCATAAGTTTCATCCATAAACAACCATTAAAAATGTCGTTCGGTTATTGACCCATCATCACTTGAACTCTTGATTTCTCGCTATGAACCCTCGAGACCTTATCTTTGCATCTCAGAGGGATGCAGATATAACAAATTCTTATCTTTGCATCTCAGAGGAGTGAGAGATAGAAATATCCCTACACTGTAGACCCAATGGCAAATAAACCTCAACTAGAAAGATAGTACTATAATCTCATCCAGGACTGGACTTAGCGGAAAGAAATAAAAATGACGTTTCATTTTTCAGGAGCAAACCGAAGTGTCGGCCGACATTGCTGAGTTTGTCGACATGAGCAAGCAAGATGATAAATCGTCTCTGATTGGTCGACCCGACGGACACGAGCGAGGAAGCGACTCGCTCATTGGTCGCCCTGACGGTCACGAGAGGGGCCACGATTCGCTGATTGGTCGACCTGATGGTCACGAGGACTTCCTTCGGGAATCCAAAGAAAGTTCCGAGGAGGATGACGAATCGTTTATGGCTATGCTCGCCTAAATTTTGGTGTGAAAATGTGACAGTAATTTTATGAAAAGTCTGTCATAGGATCTTGTAGTACAGGTGATTGCTGTGCTTACAACCGGGATTAATTCAAAGCCTAACAATTTCGTGATAAGGCTATGAGCTTCACGTTACGTGCTTTGTGCTCGCTATAGGGAATATGTCATCCAGTTTGAAACATTTCATTTGTGAATCAGGCTAGGACGATACCTGAATTTATATAACCAATTTTTTGTCTCTTTCATTCACTTTTGGCATTTCCACTGATAATCAAGTTCCACGATCATTCGTTCATCCATGCATATGATTGGTGCTTAGATGTTTGTTTTTTCCGACGATTATATGTCTGTAGAAAAAGCCATGTTGTATATCAACTATCAGGAAATACAACTTTAATCCATGAGATGAGTTTATAAGATTAACTTTTTAACAGTGGTAACCGGGCCAATTTAACTTATTCCTTTTCGGTGAGTCGTGATCTGTGTAGGACTGGATGTGAATTTAGCTTACAAACGTCGCATTTCGCTCCCACGCTCTCAGGTAAAGGTCTCCATGTCAACTTTGCCATTTATTTGTTTCTTTGTTTTGTTCGTTTAGGATATTTCTGTCACGTCTGCCCATTTCTTGAACGTAAATTCACCATGGGAAGCTGTTTTTGGCCGTTGCCCGATTATTATCTATAAAAAGAGAGCTAGGAAAATAAGAGGTGGTTCTTTTGACGACCACCATAATCAGAGGTGGTCATTTTCTCCTTATTATGACTCATCAGTGATGTCACATCAGCAAGCGACATTCAATAGCCTTACGGTGTAGCTCGGTCCTGTTAAAAACCGTCCTTTTTTTGGAAAGCATGGATCAGGACTTGTCCACTGTTCGACAGTTACGAACGATCGATGCCTATTCGTCGTCGATAGGGCAGTTTGCATCTCTAACGAGCCTCTCCCCGCATGGCAGCTAAGGTGGCAGATGCCAGTCTGCGTCAGCCCCCCCCCCCCCGCCATGAACCTCGGTTAGTTCTACGTGTCACCGGCAGTACCGGTTCTGCGAGTCAGTAAGGGTCATCGTCCGCTGGCCGAGCGTACAAAAACCGCCCTAACCGGCTGCACAGCACAACGGATCCTACCCCTCCCCTCGTTCACAATAGGTACGTTACGCGCACGGGCAACCCTAGCGAGCGAAGTGGATAGGGTGCAGATTGCGAATACCGTGACAGATGCACCCTGATAGAGACTTTTTTTGACCAGCTACAGGCGCGAACTGCGCTTTCCGCATTATACGATAGGCGTGTTATCGTGGTCAGGATAGAATGAATTGAAGTAAAGTAGATCGACTTTGAACAAATAGCATCCAAACATCAACCTATAATAGTCTAAAAGCGTAAAATTACGCACTACTGAATTTGGGGATGGGGAAATAAAAAGTATCATATGCATTTACTTTCTAACATTACATCTGTAGTTTTATTTTACCCAATTTCAAAAATTGCATCCAATTCCAGAGCCCCAGCCACACTGGGTAAGCACGCTTTGAATTCATCCACCGCCTATTTAGCTGCGCCCACAATCTTGTATGCATACTCTGGCTACAAGCTATCAAAATTCGGCATAACTTGGTGCTGCCAAGCGCCGACCGACACCAATGCTGCAGAGCTTCAATATTTTAGTTTCCTCATCTGAATGAAATATGCATCAAAATAATATCCTAGTATTTTGTAATCCCCAAAGTCCACAATCCCGTCTGGCATCCTCGGAGAAAATGGACGTTCCCTGCTCTGTACCGCGGAGTTTTAGGCACTGATCTCCAGTCCTCGGCAGACAATTGAGCCGGATTTCGCTGGAGCTAAACAGTGAGGAATGCCTGCACCGGTTTCTTACTACCGGTCACGGCAAGTTCTGCCGCATGCAGAGCTCACCTCGGTTTAATATCGCGAACGGCAGAGCTGAAGATGGCATGAAATCGGTTAACTTCACTGCCCGTTGAAGCGCGTCAGGCTGCGACATCCAGACCGGCCGTGGCTGACGCTCAATGACGACCTGATGCAGCTGCAGGCTCGAAGGGACGCCGCCAGACGCAAGAGAGACGCCCATCGAACACCAACAAGTGACCAGGAGTACTCCTCTCTCAAAAAGGAGTTCAGAAGACGGATCGCAGCAGCCCGCGCGGAATACTTCTCAGCACCAGCGAGTGTGAAGGAAATGTGGGCAGAGCTGCGGAAACACGCCCTGGGAAACAAACCATCAGCTGGGCTCGACGACGTACCGGACGACGCGGCGGTGAACCGCTTCAACACGTACTTCGCCGAGGTGGGACACCGCATCGCCAAGGAGCTGGCCGGCCGCCGGGACGGGACGGCGCTGCCGCCCAGACCGCCCACCGTGTGCAGCTCTGCATTCACGGTCCGGCCAGCCACGCTGCCGGAGCTCAGCGGCGCTCTGAAGCGCATGAGCGGCTCGAGGGCAACCGGCAGTGACGGCGTATCACTGCAGCTGATCCGGCGCTGTTTCCCGGTGGTCGGCCCTCACTTACTGCGGATCATCAATTCATCCATCGTCACTGGAAAGGTACCCGCAGTATGGAAGCACGCCAGAGTAGTGCCTATCTACAAGGCCGGTGACCGGTTGCAGCCGGCGAGCTTCAGGCCTGTCAGCGTGCTCAGCAGCGTAGCCAAACTAGCCGAGAAACTTATAAGTGTCCAACTAAGTACGTACCTAACTGAGAATAACATCATGTCACCAACTCAATACGCGTACAGAGCTCACCATTCCACGGAGAGTGCTGTGGTAGACCTTGTCAGCACCATATCATCCCATAGGGAGGAGGGACGACTGGCATGTCTGACTTCGTGTGATCTGTCGAAAGCGTTCGACTGTGTTGACAGAGATCACAGAGATGTGCTGTTCAGTAAGCTCGGATGGTATGGTATCTCGTCTCACTGGTTTCTGGACTATTTCACGGACCGAACACAGTCGGTAGGGGGCAGTGCAACCGCTGATGTGACTTACGGTGTTGTACAGGGCAGCACTCTGGGCCCGATCATGTACAACCTCCTGACCAACGACTTACCATGTCACCTGTCGAACCAGGCATCCATTGTGTCTTACGCCGACGACTCTCAAATCATACACAGTCAGGGGTGGAGAAATATGCCGAGTTGGGGTTGCACGGGCGCAGCAAATCCGCCGCCGCCCTGGCGGTGACCTTGACCTCCGCTGTCTGGTGCGGCTCCAAAGCCAAGCCGGCGCAGCCGGCGTGGAATTGGGAAGACTCGTGCTACCCCAACTCGGCACATTTGTCCAGCCCTGTACACAGTGCACGGCCCACACCTTCGGACCTAGCTCAGCTGCGTTTCACTGTGGAAGCTGATCTGTCACATCTCTCCGCGTGGTTCACTTCGAACGGACTCAAAGCCAATCCCTCTAAAACAGAGCTGATTCTTTTCGGAACCGCGCCGTCGCTGAAAAAGGCGACAGGCTTCTCGATTTCATTTGACGGACTAAGCCTGCAGCCAGCACAACACATCAAAATCCTCGGCGTGGTTCTTGACTCGGAACTGAGTATGCGCCCACAAGTCAGCAACGTAACGAGACGGTGCTACAACAGTCTCTCAACTATCAGCAAACTCAGAGACACTCTTCCGCGGAAAACACTGGTGCACCTAATTCAGTCGCTCGCTTTCACTCATATCACTTACTGTTTGCCGGCCTGGGCTCCACCGACACAGCAGCAGCGCCACCGCATAGACAAGGCCATCAACTTCGCTACCCGCATCGTGACCAGAAAGCATCGTCACGAACGCATCTCAGCCGCCAGACGAGAGTTAGGGTGGCTGCAGTTCGATGCTGTGATCGATTATCGTGACTCCGTGCTGATGCATTCCATTGTACACCGGGACCAGGGGCCGCAGAGTTGTTCGTGAAAAAAGTTTGATCCAAAAACAGCTATTTTTACAATATTTGACCAATGGAGGCTTAGCCGTTGACCTGAGATCAATTTTGATGAAACCTTATCAAAAGAAGAGTTTAGAAGCTATCGATTGCTTTTACACCCGTGTTTTTTTTTCTCTCTCTCTAGCTATCATAGTTCCTGAGATAGCAGATTTTTTTTCTGAAAAATATAATGACATTTGGCAAATTTTGACCTTTGATGACCTCCAGTGACCCCAATATTGCTCCAAGATGAAAAATGACAAAAAATATTTACAAACGTACGCATTGAGAGCTATCGATTGCTTTTTTACCGCGTCTTTCTAGCCCTCTTAATTTTTTAGTTAGAGGTGGTTGGTAACATATGCCCTTCCCCTCCCCCCCCCCCACCTAGGGCGAAGTTGGCTGAGACCGCCACTGAGGCGCGGGTTAAGACTAAGCCCATCATTGGTTTTCCTCCCTCTAACACCACTGATAACGCCCGGCAAAACTATATATTTCTTCCCAGCAGACTGATAGACACACACACAAACACACAACACCTTGGCTGTCCATGACTAATCCAAAATAAAAAGTCGATAAAGTTAACCATTACCGGGATAAAAAAAAACTCGTACAACAACGGTCGAATTTACACACAAACACACGCGATGTCGCAACTCTCCAGTTCACCATCAGTCAGATACAAGTAGGTACAGATTAGAGGCCAAAAGGAGATTTGAGTGTTCACGATTGTTTTTAGACATCGAATGTTGAGATTGATATCCAGATCTTTCGGTTTGGGCCGTCTCTTGACACATGAAGAAGTTGAATGGAGACGTTGCTGCTGTTAATTTGAACATCAGGATGTTTTGTTTGATGGAGACCAAAAGGGGTGTCTTGTTTTAAGTTTTTGACCTCTCGAATGTGCTCGTTATACCCGAGTCTGACTGAGCGGCGAGTCTGTCTGAGTTAGCTTAATTTTCGGAAAACTCATGGCAACAAAAAATTGTTTACGCCAATTTTCAATCTCCATTTTAGCCGTTTTAGGCCACGTAGCGCAAAGCTAAGACCACCATTGTATTCCCCGTGACAAACTATATCAAATCGACAGTCGACACCCTTTCAATGCAAACAAAATGTCAGGTTAGAATTTTGCTTTTTCCTTGACCTTGACCTTCCCTTCCCTAGAACGTAAACTAAACGGCATTCTGGGTCGCAGTCACGGTCGAGTAGCGAGGAGCATCCTGGACCACAGTCTTATAGTCAGGAACATCCTGGACCACAGTCCTTGAGTCCTGATGGACCGTAACGTATTGAGTCCTGTAGCCAGGAACATCCTTGAGCAAAGTCCTGTAGTCAGGAGCATCCTGGACCACGGTCCTTGAGTCCTGATGGACCGTAACGTATTGAGTCCTGTAGCCAGGAACATCCTTGAGCAAAGTCCTGTAGTCAGGAGCATCCTGGACCACGGTCCTTGAGTCCTGATGGACCGTAACGTATTGAGTCCTGTAGCCAGGAACATCCTTGAGCAAAGTCCTGTAGTCAGGAGCATCCTGGACCACGGTCCTTGAGTCCTGATGGACCGTAACGTATTGAGTCCTGTAGCCAGGAACATCCTTGAGCAAAGTCCTGTAGTCAGGAGCATCCTGGACCACGGTCCTTGAGTCCTGATGGACCGTAACGTATTGAGTCCTGTAGCCAGGAACATCCTTGAGCAAAGTCCTGTAGCCAGGAGCATCCTGGACCACAGTCTTATAGTCAGGAGCATCCTGGACCACGGTCCTTGAGTCCTGATGGACCGTAACGTATTGAGTCCTGTAGCCAGGAACATCACTGAACAAAGTCCTGTAGTCAGGAGCATCCTGAACCACAGTCTTATAGTCAGGAACATCCTGGACCACGGTCCTTAAGTCCTGATATTGAGTCCTGTAGCCAGGAGCATCCTGGACCACAGCAGTCTTATAGTCAGGAGCATCCTGGATCACAGTCGTTGAGTCCTGATATTGAGTCCTGTAGTCAGGAACATCACTGAACAAAGTCCTGTAGTCAGGAACATCACTGAACAAAGTCCTGTAGTCAGGAGCATCACTGAACAAAGTCCTGTAGTCAGGAGCATCACTGAACGCAGTCCTGTAGTCAGGAGCATCACTGAACGCAGTCCTGTAGTCAGGAGCATCACTGAACGCAGTCCTGTAGTCAGGAGCATCACTGAGCAAAGTCCTGTAGTCAGGAGCATCACTGAACGCAGTCCTGTAGTCAGGAGCATCACTGAACAAAGTCCTGTAGTCAGGAGCATCACTGAACAAAGTCCTGTAGTCAGGAGCATCACTGAACAAAGTCCTGTAGTCAGGAGCATCACTGAACAAAGTCCTGTAGTCAGGAGCATCACTGAACAAAGTCTTGTAGTCAGGAACATCACTGAACAAAGTCCTGTAGTCAGGAGCATCACTGAACAAAGTCCTGTAGTCCAGGTGGCGGTCCGGACCTGCAAGGAGAACAGGGAGCACTGGGTCAGCGGTCAGATGTGTAGAGGGGGAGTCTTAGAAGAGAGGAAGCAAAGAAGATTTAGAGATATTGAGCACTCTCAATGAACTATCCAGTAGTAAGCATATAAAACCGGAATGGGTGAAGTTGTTTGACCGGTAATATTGTGGACAGACATTTGGCTGACCTAACGCTTCGTGCTCCCTTAATGTGTTTACGGCCGCGCGCGATCTACATAACTATGTAGAGCTTAAAAGTGCTTTGAAAATGTCATCCAAACAGGGATTATACCCAGATGTTATGCATAAAAAACAATTGTCATTTTTCCCTTTCTTTTGTCAGTTTGGTTTCCCCCACTTAAAGGGACCCTCCCACCTTCAAAAAAGGCTACGAATTGGCATGAAAGTGATGTCGCTCGGTTCAGAAAGAGCGAAAACGAATATCTACCAAATTTCACCGAAAAATATTCACCGGTTTTCAAGATATTGGACTTCTACTTTTGTTTACTTTTTGGGATCTCCGCTGTTCCTAGCGACTTTATTTGGAAGTAATAGTTTGGCAACTGAAAGTGCGGCACTTGTTGCGCGCAAAGCAGCATATACCACCGCATGCTACAAAACGTTTTAGTCAAACATTTAAAAATCGTTAGATATCTGCGCTGACGTCACACATTCAGAGGGGTATTCCTATGCCCCTCTGAATCAAAATGCTGCAATTTTGAAATTCAATATTTCCGATTTAAGGCATTTCTCGATGTTGTGAGTGCCGAAACCGGTAATTGTGAGCCAGGGACCCCATTTTGGCTATCTCAACTCAAATCTAATGTTAACCCGCGCCCGGCTGGGGGTCCTGGATTTCCACGCCCTGCTGGGGGGTGTTTGAACACCCCCCCCCCCTTGTAACTCGGCTCCTGGGCCACGTAGCGATACGCAGAAGGCGGCGTTCGAAAGAGCGTCAAAAATAATGACGAAATCACTTTGGTCAATTTTTGGTCAGGTCAAAGGTCAGGTCACCAGAGGTCATAGAAGGCAAAATTTTGCCGATTTCCAGGTCGAATGTCGAAAATTTCCAAGAAGCCAACGCATAACTCGGGAACCAATAGAGCTACAGCGCCGCGGAAAAGCGCATTCGATAGCCCTATTAACGCCCTTTCTGATTAATTCTCTCAGATTTGACCTAACGTCAACGGTTTTGCCTGCAGGGGGCAAAAACTGCAAAAATAGCCGATTTTTTCGTTAACAGTTTTTCGGCAATAACTTTTGACCCAAGCCTTGTACGAGCTTTTTTTTACCGGCATCGTATTCCTCTCGTCAAGACGCATCGAATGAACTATAACTTGACCTTGAAAGGTCAACTTGAAAATTTGACCTCAGGTCAAGGTCATGACCTGACCGGAAAGGGTCATGTTGCATATCAGTCGATCCGTATCGTCGAGCTGAACACATCTAAGGCGTTTTCATCGCTCTAGCATGCCTCTATCAAAAGTTATTTGCGAAAAACTGTTAGATACCATTCGTAACCTAAGATGACCTCAGGGCATAAACAAGGGTCACGGACACCATTTTCATGTTCTGTGTGTATAAACCACTTGTAATTCGGTGTTTGGGAGTGTTTATAATGTCTTTCGTCCAAAAGAGGCGCATTTCAATTTTCTCCCATTGACTTATAATGGGGAGGACGCAAAATTGACCTGACCTTAGGTCATCGATATCAAAATTCTGAGATATACATTTTGTACATGCTATTGCTCTTAGCAATCGCTGAGAGTTTCAAAGCGATCGGTCACTCGGTGTAGCTATGACAGACATTGAAACTTTTTATGAGGTGAGGTCACTTCAAGTGACCTGGTGACCTGACCTTGAATGACCTTGGTCTGAAATTTTCACAACATGTGTAGAATTGACGTATGATAAGGTGTATAAAAAACGGCGGCGCTGTTTTTGAGACATTCGCGAAAAACCACAAGGGGGGGGGTGTTCAAACACCCCCCCCCCCCCCCCCCAGCAGGGCGCGGGTTAAGGTGGGAGGGTCCCTTTAACACTGTGCCTCTGTTCTCATTCGTTTTCTTCCTCCATTCCTGTCCTATCCACTTAATCCCCATTGGCCGTGCGTCTATATCTCATTCTGAACTCCGTAGCGTACCGCGTACCTCGGTCTCGGTGTTCTTATGGTAGGTACTCGGGGTAGGGGAGAGTGCCCAATCTCCGCCCGGTCTCCTAAGTCCTAATTGCGCCCAGCCCCCGTTCACGAGCTGCAGAGTCCCTTTACCGTGACGTCACCACGGCGGTAGAATCTCCCTTCACCCATAGACATGCATGCAAATTTCATCATCTCTCGAGCGAGCTGGAGAAAAAAAAGATTATGTGTCATCAGAAGTTGTACCAATGTATCAATGAGTTCGCCTAATTACGATAAATTGGGCTGAAACTAAAAAAACATAGGACTATATCAAGCCAAAATCAGGCATTCAAATGACCCCTTCATTTGAACGTGAAGGATTTCCTCTGATGACGTCAACACGGCGCCTTTATTTCCCTAATGAACCAACCTGAGTAGTAAAGGAATCCTGATTGCGCCGGTGTCATTTTCTGTGAACCGAATATGTCGATTGGTGTTTGGAAAACAATTTATTAAAAACAATCATCAAAACAATATTTTTCGACCTATACCACCACCAGCGTAAGGTTATAAGCCGCGTACTTGGAGTGGTTTTGTAAAATGTAGTGTTTTCTTATCCTGAGCCTGCTTACTTATTGAACTGTTACTGCTGTTCGTGAGAAAGGGTGGCAAAAAGTGATTTTTGATGGTAGGTATACATACATAGGGTAGCCTGGGGCAAGACGCCCCAGATAATTTATTTTGCTACATAAATTTTGTCCCACATCACCTGGAAGGCCAAATTTGTGCTCAATGCTTTCTTTGGACGTTTTACTTTAAATTGCACCCCTCAAATTGATTCACTTATGATCGGACTCCAAGCTAGGAAGTGATTTGCGAAGCAACTGCAAATGGGGCATTTTGCCCCAACCCCAGGGCAAAACGCCCCACGACCTGGGGCAAGTAGCCCCATACTTTAGATTAAAGATTTAACATGGTAGTTGGCTAAATCTTATGTGAGAGGTCCGTTAGACCTCTGGAGGCACGGCACTGAAGTTAGCACATTCCATCCTGTCAGGTGCTCAGCTATGGCACTATTGTATGAGCAGGTTTTTCACCTACCTCATAAGACCAAATAATAAATTATTGCAATGCAAATGTTAACAAAATACTTCCTTTGCCATCCAGTTGCTGAGAAAAATACACATAAAGGCATAGAAACTTACTGTTCGCCAGCTACCGAACATTAGAAAGTGGGTAGCCCGAACAACACATGAGGTAAAACGCCCCAGGGGCTTTTTGCCCCGCGACCTACTGGGGCGTTTTACCCCATCACGTAATTCGGTCAGAGAACAACGCCTTGCACTCCAGCAAGACATAATTTAACACGAACCAACCCGGCATGATAAGCGTTAGACAATAGTTGTTCAAAATACATAAAAGTCGTTAACCTAATGTGGACCATAAAAGAACGCCATGATACATAATCTGACAACAAAACATAAAAATCACTCAAAAAACACATTTTTAGCTATATCTCCCGAAAGAGTCATCACAATTTCTTTCCAGTCTGCTCATATAATGATCATACAGTGCACGTTTTATAGAAGAGATGATGTTTCCCCAGAACTCTGCCAGTTCCGAGAAATATCGGTGAGGCGTTTTACCTCGGCGGGGCGACTTGCCCCGGTCTACCCTATGTGCCGGGTATGGAGAGACAAAAAACAAGACGTTACATGCCTATTGTGCAGCATTATCAATATTTTGCTGCCAAAAAAAAATCGTGCAAGTTTTGAGTCAAAAGTTATTGCAGAAAAACGATTTCCGAAAAAAATCGGCTATTTTGGCAGTTTTTGCCTCCTGCAAAACCGTTACTCAGAAAGAGCGTTAATAGGGCTATCAAGTGCGCTTTTCTGCGGCGCTGTAGCTCTATTGGTTCCCGAGTTATGCGTTGGCTTCTTGGAAATTGTCCGAGCTTTGCTTATAGTTTCCGAGCTGTACGTCACTTTGTTGAAAGTTGTCGACATCTGACCTATGAATCGGCGAATTTTGGCCCTTAATGTCCTCTGGTGACCTGACCTTTGACCTGACCAAAAAAAGTGACCGAAATGATTACTTCCTTATTTTGGCGCTCTTTCGAACGTCGCCTTCCCCGTATCACTACGTGGCCCAGGAGCCGAGTTAGAAGGGGGTGTTCCAACACCCCCCCCCCCCTCCCCCAGCAGGGCGTGGAAATCCAGGACCCCCAGCCGGGCGCGGATTAATGCCTTATTTCATGTGGCGCAATTAGGGCGTGCTGTGCCTAAATGCGCCTTTTGCAGAAGTTAGGAAAACCGTAGTTTGTTCCAATGAAATGTACTTTAATTATAAGAGTGGAGGTACATTTAACTAGAAAAATGTTCATCGATCATTATTAAGCAGAGACCGCACTCACCAGACACATTGCTTAAACACAGGTTGAGTTTCTGCTTAACCCGCGCCCTGCTGGGGGGGGGGGGTGTTTGAACACCCCCTTTGTGGTTTTTCGCGAATATCTTAAAAACGGCGGCGCCGAGCGCCGCCGTTTTTGGTACACCTTATCATACATCATTTCTACACATGTTGTGAAAATTTCAGACCAAGGTCATTCAAGGTCAGGTCACCAGGTCACTTGGAGTGACCTCACCTCATAAAAAGTTTCAATGTCTGTCATAGCTACATCGAGTGACCGATCGCTTTGAAACTTTCAGCGATTGCTAAGAGCATTAACATGTACAAAATGTATATCTCATAATTTTGATATCGATGACCTAAGGTCAGGTCAATTTTGCGACCTCCCCATTATAAGTCAAGGGGAGAAAATTGAAATGCGCCTCTTTTGGACGAAAGACATTATAAACACTCACAAACACTGAATTACAAGTGATTTAGACACACTGAACATGAAAATGGTGTCCGTGACCCCTGTTTATGCCTTGAGGTCATCTTAGGTCACGAATGGTATCTAACAGTTTTTCGCAAATAACTTTTGATAGAGGCATGCTAGAGCGATGAAAACGCCTTAGATGTGTTCAGCTCGACGATACGGATCGACTGATATGCAACATGACCCTTTCCGGTCAGGTCATGACCTTGACCTGAGGTCAATTTTTCAAGTTGACCTTTTAAGGTCAGGTTATAGTTCATTCGATGCGTCTTGACGAGAGGAATACGATGCCGGTTAAAATAAGCTCGTACAAGGCTTGGGTCAAAAGTTATTGCAGAAAAACTGTTTCCGAAAAAATAGGCTATTTTTGCAGTTTTTGCCCCCTGCAGGCAAAACCGTTGACGTTAGGTCAAATCTGAGAACATTACTCAGAAAGGGCGTTAATAGGGCTATCGAATGCGCTTTTCCGCGGCGCTGTAGCTCTATTGGTTCCCGAGTTATGCGTTGGCTTCTTGGAAATTGTCGACATTCGACCTGGAAATCGGCGAAATTTTGCCTTCAATGACCTCTGGTGACCTGACCTTTGACCTGACCAAAAAATTGACTGAAGTGATTTCGTCATTATTTTTTAAAGCTCTTTCGAACGCCGCCTTCCGCGTATCGCTACGTGGCCCAGGAGCCGAGTTAGAAGGGGGGGTGTTCAAACACCCCACCCCCCCCAGCAGGGCGTGGAAATCCAGGACCCCCAGCCGGGCGCGGGTTAACCCTCGCCCGTATAGGGGTGGGGTCGAACGGACCCCCCCCCCCTTGGTTTTTCGCGAATAACTCGCGTAAAAAACGGCCGATCGCGACGAAACTTTCAGTACCCTCGCGTTAATCAATTTTACACCTACCCTTAAATTTTCATGACCCTGATTCTAATGACCTTTGACCTGTGACCTACTTTTCGAGACCATGTTTGGCCGGAATCGCGATTCGGCGTATGTCGGCTCGCATTAGCCGCGCGTTTGCAGTCTTTTCGTGGTTTTAAGCGTTCAAACATGGGATATGATAATGCTCCCATGCACTAGGGTGTGTGTCAAGGTCACCGGAAGGTCAGGTCAGGTCATTGACCTTTGATGACCTCGGTTCACTTTTACGAGTGTTACATGTTTCTAGGCCAGTTTTTTTAGCTGAATTCGAATTTAGCAACCATATGAACATTTACGAAGTAGTTTTGGCACCTTCGTAACATGTTACGAAGCTGTCAGAGGCGGTTGCCACCTACTACGAATACTCTTACTGGTTGACCTGACCTGACCTGACCCGACCTGGCCTAAATGCGTGAAGACATCATCTGTGATCAAAACTAACATGATATTCGTGATCAGCACCCCGAAAACCCCCATAGCAGCCACGCTTTACGACTTTCTAACAGGTCCCGATTTTCCCGACTTTTGGGTCATTGACCTGACCTGGAAGGTCAACCGATGACCTAGAACCTTAAAATTGGGTATCATCGGCTTCCTCTGGTCACGGGCAACACGCTCGTTTTTTCCGCGAAGCTCTAGCTCAATCAGGGGCGAAACGACGAGGGGGGTCCAACGGACCCCCCCCCCCCCCCCTCCCTTATACGTTCGCGGATGGAAAAACACCAATACGGGCCCGAGGGTTAACCCTATTCCTGGCGGGCTCCGCCGGGACAAGAAACTGGCGGGGGGGGGGCCGATTCGGCCCCCCCCCTGAGATCTCGAGAACGAAGCAAGATAGCGACAAACGGTAAACGGCATCGGATACGCACGGTGAAGATCTACAATTTTTACTAAGGTCATTTTCAGGTCAGGTCAAAGATGACGTCACAGGGGTCGAAAAAGTCAAAATGGCGGCGCTAGATATGGAGAGAAATTTTCTCGAATAACTTTCGAATTAGTCAAGATAGGAACAAACTAAGGGCATCGTCGTGATCCTCTCGTCAATCCGCATCGATTGATATATATGTTGACCTCGCAAGGTCAAGGTCAAAGGTTGACCTCAGGTCACGTGACCTTGAGGTCACCATGTATGTCATTCGATGCGTCTTGACGAGCTGAACACAATGAGACCATCCACGCGTCTGTATCTTGTTCCTGTACGGAGTTATTGGCCAAAAACCTTTGGTGACCTTTGATGACGTCACATGACCTCACAGCTGCCCAACAGCAAAACAGACCTCAAGGTAGTGAAGGTTGATCGTATATGAAGTCATGTATGGTATATGGGGCCATTCCGACCCGTTTTAGTGGTAAAAACAGGGAGTTGATTTTTCCCCCATTGACTTATAATGGGGAGGTCGCGAAACTGACCTGACCTTAGGTCACCGATATCAAAATTCCGAGATATACAAATTGCACATACTGGTACCCTAACTAAAGCCTGAAGAGAAGAAATTGTTCGGTCAAAAACTCTAGCTCTGGCGTGATTGCAAACTTTTCTGAGGTGGGGTCACCAAACCGCCTCTAGTGACCTGACCTGACCTGACCCGGCAACTTTTTTTGCCAAAATGTGCGCAATGAATGTTTTAAAAAGTCACCGAGTATGAGCTTTCAGTCTTGCGGCGTTTGGCAATGGCACAAGAAAAACCTGAATGGGGGGCCTTAAAGCCCCCCCCCCCGCCAGGAATAGGGTTAAAGAAAATAATGTAGGGGAAGTTGGGGGAACGCCGAATACTTTTTTTCTGACGTCCGTAGTACGCAAGGTAGACAACATAAGCTATTCTTGTTGGCGTCATTCGAGAGGCCAGTCTTTTGTCTTTCAAACATACCAGGCGCATTTGATGAATTCGCATACCGTTAAGCGCAAAAACTAAAAATATCAAAGAACTGACTTTTTCGGCGTTGCCCCGGACTGCGGGGAAAGCCGAAAATGGGATAAATGATCTACGAGGAATGCCGACATTGATGTTTTGCCAATTTATCTCAAACTTTATCCAAAATTCATCAAAGCTGACACGCGTTTTAAGAGCTTGAGGACACTTGGTGCACACTGGAAGTTATAATTGTGTGATATAATAACAAAATGCCAGGTAAATCATTCCATATAGGTAACAGGCCGTTGTGCCGGCTGAAAGTGTAATTTGTTTGACTAAAAATACGTGTTGCTATTCTACAGCAGTAAAGTCCACGTAGCGTGCTTTAACGTGCGTAATTGCACGTTTTCGGCATTACCCCAGCCAGCCATACTTTCATTTGCAGGCCCATAACTTTTAAACGTGCTGTATAAATTTCAAATAGGCAGCACACTTATGCAAAGACATGCTGAAGATTACTTGACCGAATTGGCCAGACAAACGGTAGCATAATGAGTAAGAAATGCAGCTTCAAAGGCGCATGTAGTACAAGGGAAACGTACCTTGAAAACGCTTTTGGCGCCCTCACAGCCGAAGTATTCCAAATGACGACTCGTAACAAACATGCGATAATTGTAGTCACTTAAGCTTCAGAGCATCACTGAGACGTGGCATCCATGTTGTACGGTTTTAGAAATATCTCGAATTTCGGCTTTGCCCCAACTCCGGCATTGCCCCAACTTCCCCTATTTTACTTGACGAGAACGGTGTAAAAAAAAAAATCCTCCAATAATAGTAACCAGTAATTACTTCTATGATATACGTATTAAGGTACCTATTTTGCAACTGTGTCAAAGCACAAAAGAACAGCATTCTGACAGCTCACTGTGTTATGTTGAAATGGCAAGTTTGGTCAAACTTGGTCAGTGCTGAACTTTGATTTTAATTGCTAATTGTTTTGTCATTTCAGAGTGTTAATGGAAACAGACGACACTGAGCTGGGGCCGGATGCAGGAGGCGACGGACGCTGTGGTGCGCTGGGCAACATAGTCCAAGATGCTGGTAGCGGGTGAAATACGCAGCTGCTCGTCGTCTCCTAGAGCGCCGCGGACGCCGTGGACTGCGCCATCAAAGTCGACGAAAAGTCGGCTCCAGCAGCCGACCGTCTCAAACTACTCGGAGCCACCCCCTCAACCTACTCCTTCACTTCGGGGCCCATTGCCGCAGTCTCCGCTCCCGAGTGCGCCCGGGATCCAGCAGCTTCGCAAGCGGACAGCGCGGGGCTGGGGACTAGAGGAACGACAGCTCTGCGCTGTAGCGTCTGGATACGTCCGTGGAGTGCTGGTGCACGCGGCCGCCACCTGGCTCCTGGTGACGCCACAATCCCACGTGGAACTCCTCCAGAGGGAGATGCGGGCGGTGACCCGTATATCACCGGCTGCCCCTTGTTTACCCCAGCCCACGCAGTGATGGCGGAGGTCGGACTGATGCCGGTGCCCGCTGGCCGCCCGGCGAGACGTGCTGGTAGCGAAGCTCTTCGCCAAGGCGCACGCGCTCCCCGAGGGCAAGCCCTCAGGACTATCGCGGAAGATGGGCCGCCCAGCCGACTGAAGTCGATGACGGGCTGGCGTGGGGTGGGGCACGAAACCTGGCGAGCGGCTGGGATAATCTCTGATTCATGCTCGTGTCGCCAGTCGCGAGTGACATCTGTGTGCGGCGCGCGCGTCCAAGATGGCGGGCGGCGATGAGGCGCAGTCGGCCGCCGCCGCCGAGAAGCCGTCTGAGATGGAGCTACTTCGGAGTTCGGGGCATGCTGCAGCAGCAATTGGAGCTGGCTGCAGCGGCAGCGCGACGTGAGGAGCGGATGGCCGCGCTGTTGGAGCGGGTGCTTCCCGGCCCGACGGCCGTGCAGGACGCCACGGCACCCGCCCAGGCAGCCGCGGGGCCCGATTCCGGCGCCCGGCCGCGTGCACGCATGCCCGCCGCCGGCACGCCCACGCCCCGGCTGGCGGCTACCGCTACCCTCAAGGAGTTTGAGGCCTGGAAAGAGAAGTTCTCCGGCTACTGCCTCCTCACCGGCGTCCACGATCTCACCGAGGCTGAGCAGCGGGCCGCCCTGCTCGCTGTTCTCGACGACGACTGGGCCCGCGTGGTCCGGTTTGGCCTGCCCATCCCGGCCGAGGCGTCCATGGCCGATGTAATCACCGCCATGCACACCCACCTTCGGCGGCAGCGGAACGTGGTGATCGACCGCTGCGAGTTTAACATGCGGATGCTGGAGCCAGGCGAGTCAGTGGACGATTTTATCTGCGCCCTGAAGGAGATAGCGTCCTGCTGTGATTTTTGCCCGAACTGCACCGATGATAGGTTCCGAGACCATCTGGTGGTGGGCACCAGTGATGACGAGGCCAGACGCCGCATGCTGGAACTGCCCGATCTGACCTTCCAGATGGCCGCCGACCTGTGCCGGGCGTCCGAGAGCGCCCGTCTCAACAGCTCGGCGATCCGTGGCCCGGGCGAGCCGTCTCTGCGCCAGCTCTCCGAGTACCGGCGACAGCGCGGTCGGCCGAGCGGCGCGGACTCGCGCTCGGCCGACCAGACCCGGCGGTGTGACCGCTGCGGTGCCGCGCAGCACACGGACGGTCGTGCCTGCCCCGCCCTGGGTCGCACCTGCCACCGATGGCCACGAACGGGACCACTTTTCCTCGGTCTGCCGGCATGCCGCGGGCACTGAAGAGCGGCGCCGGCAGACGCCTAGTTCCGAGCGCAGCCACCAGGGACAGGACTGGCGCTTCCGTAGCGCGAGCAGCAGCCGCCAGGGGAGGGGCCGGCGCCACCGTAGCGCAATCAGCCGCCGCCGTGTCAGCACGGCTGCCGACGCGTCGCACCGGCAGGTTTCGGTGCTGGCAGCGAATGCAACCACGAGAGACACGGGGAACCGGCAGCAGCCAGCGCCGCCGGCAGCCCGGACGCCGGGCGCGCGCCTCAACAGTGTGACGGCCCACCGGTCGCCGCAGGTCCGGCTACAGCTGCACCTGCCAAACGGAGTCAGGCGGACGACCGTATGGACGCCCGACACAGGCGCCGAGATATCAGCCCTCTCACTGCAACAAGCCGAGTCCATGGGAGTGAGCAGAGCGGACCTCACGCCCTCCACGGCTGTGCTGTGGGCCGCCGACAGCCGCCGGCTGGACTGTGTGGGCACGTACGCCCTCACCCTGCAGCTCGGTGACGTCATACAGACCGTGCAGGTGTCCGTTCTGCGAGCACTGCACTCACCACTGCTGTCGTGGCACGATTGTATCGGCCTGGGAATTCTGCCAGCGAGCTTCCCGCGGCAGATTTGCCAGCGCGGCTCGGCAGCCGAGACTGGGACGGACGGTGGGGCACCGGAGCCGCCGCCGCCCGGCGAGCCGCCTGAGGCCCCCGCCGCCGGCAGACAGCCCGCACTACGGCGCTGCAGCGGCACGACGGCGGCACCTGAGGAGACCCGGGACATAAGCCGCGTCTCTGCCGCCGACCGGCCGGCCGCCAGCTCGGCCGGCGCCGACCCGACCGGGCGGGCGCCGCCGCCCGGCCCTACGCGCGCGCCGCCGCCCGGCCCTACGCGCGCGCCGCCGCCCGGCCGCCGGTGGCACCAGAGGTCGAAAAAACTGTTAGACTTTCTCCAACCGACCTAAAATTTGCTCCACAAGAAAAATGATTTGTTGCACAGCCTAAAGCACGGGTCAAGAACTTGAATCCCTCTCGCGTTTCTATGTACACTGAACACCAATACAGTTAGCGTCAGACAGCTTCAATGCGCTGAAACAAAGGCGTGCAAGAGTTAATGCCGTGCCCGTGCTTCTAAGTTCTTACTGTTCCGCGCGTAGATGTCGCTGGATATCGCGGCCGGACCGCAGCGACATCTATTCCACGGACTGCACGCTCTAAAAAACTGCCACCTTCTACAACTGCTGTAAGGGCGAAATTCCGTTCGTGATAACGGGAAAAGCAGCCTTTTTGACACCGACTTGCTTCAGGAAGATGGAAGCAACTGGGAGCAAGTCAGCCAGGCCGTGGGTAGGTTAGAAGGTACCCACAGCGGATCATTGGCTGAAGCTTGAAATTGCACATGGATGCAAGGAATGGCCATGCAGGTAAAATATTGATCATTGGTGATCGATTATTTTCCGTTTGCATTGATATTCGGTCAATTATTTGCTCCAACACCGGTTGGAGGGATGGGCAGTTTTTCGACCTCTGGGTGGCACCCCCTCCGCACGGCAGCGGCGGGCAGATTTCGACAAATTGAAAGCCGAGTTCCCGAGGGTCTTCGATACGGAGTCGACCCTGCGGAAGATGACGGGGGAGCCGATGAAGATCGAGCTGACGGACGACGCCGTCCCTCACGCTGTGACCACCGCCCGGAATATCCCGTTCTGTTGGCGAGAGGACGTGCGACTGCAACTCGACGAGCTGATGAAAAAGGACATCATCGAGCCGGTGGAGCACCCCACAGACTGGTGTCATCCGATCGTTCCTGTGGCCAAGGGGTCGTCAGACGGCACAGTGTCCGGCTGTCGGCTGACCGTGGACTTCACGAAACTGAACCGGTTCGTGAAGCGACCGACGTACCCGGTCCGCTCGCCTCAAGACGCACTCGCCTTCGTCTCACCCGGCGCTGCGTACTTCACCAAGCTGGAGTCTGGACAGCAAGGCGGGGTACCACCAGGTCCCCATCCGGCCACAAGACAGAGACGAGACCTGACGTGTTTTATCCCGCCGTGGAGCCGCTACCGGTACGCGAGTTACCTAAGTGTGGAACTACCCAGCGCCGAGCCGGCCGGATGACGTCACACCACGGCCAGTGCCGGCGCGGCGGCAGACTGGCCGAGATTGGCATGGTCTTAACTTGGCGAAGAGGCATCGGACGCCAAACTTCTGCTGCAGCTATTAATCACATTTCATGCGTTTCTTCCATGTGTATGAGCTATCAAGTCCTTCGAATACCTAATGTGTAGGTGAGCTTACCTGCATTTAGCAGTGTGTGCTATGCTATGTGGATGGGCACATCCGACAGTCGACACACTGCGCAATGGATTCCGATATTGCTAGGCTGATTCTGGCTTTGTGTCTTCGAACGAACCATTGAAAGGGAGGACGTCATTTTTAAAGGTTGTTAGGTGCACTCAAACGTTTTAAGATAAGCAACTGCTGATTGAATTTCTGGCGAGGGTTGGTGGAACGCTCTGTTTACAAATGAGTATCTACCTACCTAGTACCTACCTACTATACCTGCAGTGGCAAATAACTGGGTCGCGGTCAGTTAGGCATGATTCACGAAGTCCCTTATCTTTTATTAGACTTATTAAGCCCAATGTGCAACATTTGCGTCTTTTCGCGTTGTATCGGGTAGCAAATGAGAAAATCTGCTTCTTCTCCACAGCCCTCAATTCAAGAAACCGTCCTTTTCCTTATCGCATCATTCCAGAACATAATTTTCAAACATGGGTATCTTCCCCACAAAAAACTGAAGCAGTTTCCTTCGGCTCCAATGCGCCGCTCGCCCAGGGAGACGGAAGTGTTATATTCTCGGCGGTCCAGTCTGCATTCTGCAGCACACTCAAACTTGGCGGACCCCCAGCGCACGACTGAACGATTCGTATTGTTGTGAGTGACTGTGACAATTCACTGGTGGTTTCGGAATAATTAACAGGCGGCGCAGCCCAGTGCTTCTTACAATGAATTACAGTGGCGAATGCACTATTGCAGAGAAGAAATGGATTGAGCAGATGCCCAACCTCGCTGTATTATCAACTAAACATTAGGTACGCTTTACATTTTAATCAGGCAATCATGTAAACAAACGACTTGCGAGTTGCGACCCTTCCGCCTTACATAACTCGGCAGAATGCCCCTGAGTCGGCTAAACTACACTGCATCTCTTCGAACCTTAAGTATTTTACAAATTACCACTCAGCTATGCAACAGGCTTATAATTCACTGCTCAAGTCTCAACCCCTTTTTCCCTATCATCTTTTTGGCACCGTCAATCGCCATCTGCGCTGCCCACTGTCCAGCAAATAATCCGGCCGTCTCCAGTTATCTGGCAGGGGCTTCCAAACTCAAGCGAACTCGCCGAAGTTTCGCCATTCAATGCGCAGGATCTGTACAATTGAGTTTGAGAGCTTCTGGGTTGGCTCGGCGCGCCTGCGCCGCGCCGTTGGTCCGGCCAAGTACGCGAGTGACGTCATGCTATAAGCGTCATCCCCCGACCAAAGTCACCAATCAGAGCCCTAGAATCGACTTGTAGTTCCACACTTAGGTAACTCGCTACCGGTACCTGAGGGCTCCAATGGGAATCGTCAGCTCTGGCGACGTGTACAACCAGCGCGGTGACGCCGCGCTCGGCGACATCCCGCGCACGCACGTGTAAGGTCGTGGACGACGTCCTGGCCTATGACGCTGACTACGCCGCCCACCTGCAGCACGTGCGGCAGATTCTGCTAAGGTGTGACCAGCACGGTATCACACTCAACCCGGACAAATGTCAGTTCGCGGAAGACGAGGTCGAATTCTGCGTCTTTCGCATCAATTCGGCTGGCTATACCGCCGACGGCAAGAAAGTCCGTGCCATCCAGGCCTTCCCCAGGCCGGGCAACATCACCGACCTACGGTCGTTCCTCGGCCTGGTGACCCAGCTCGGCGCCTTCTCCCCAGAGGTCGCCGCCGCCGCCTAGCCGCTGAGACAGCTGCTGCGGCCGCGGAACGCGTGGCTGTGGACGCCAGCGCACGAGCAGGCGTTCAGCGCGGTGAAGATGGCACTCACGTCGCCTCCCGTGCTCGACTTCTTCGACCCTCGCCGCCGCACAGTCCTTGAGACTGACGCCGCTCGCTCCGGCGGCCTGGGCTACTGCCTGCTGCAGCAAGACGCCGCAGGCCGGTAGCGACTGATCCAGTGCGGCTCACGCTTCCTATCGGACGCCGAGTCGCGGTACGCCGTGATCGAGTTGGAGCTGCTGGCCCTGGCCTGGGCCTGCAAGAAATGCAGCATCTATCTCGGCGGGATGCAGCGGTTTGAAGTCCTGACCGATCACCGGCCGCTCATCCCGATCCTCAACAGTAAGAGCCTTGCGGAGATCGAAAATCCGCGGCTCCAGCGGCTACGAGAACGGCTGGCGCCGTTCAACCTGCTCGCCATCTGGCGGCAAGGCAAGCTGCACGCCATCCCGGACGCGCTGTCGCGCGCGCCGGTGGATGACCCGGCGCCTGAGGACGAGGAAGCCGAGAGGGACGCCAGCCATCAGCTCGCCAGCGTGCTCTCACGGCTGGCCACCGACGGGGCGGACGACGGTCCCAGCCCGTTCAAAGACGCGGCGCTGACAGAGGTGCGCGCCGCCGCCGCCGCCGATCCGGAGCTCATCGCACTCACTGACCTGATCCTGAATGGGTTTCCAGAGCACCGGTCACAGCTGGACCCGCGCCTCCGACCGTACTGGGGAGTTCGGGACCGGCTGGCCGTAGACGACGGCCTGGTGGTGTGTGGCCAGCGGCTCGTGATACCGCCCAGTCTGCGGCGCGCCACGCTCGAGCGCCTGCACGCCAGTCACCAGGGCGTCGAGCGCACCAAACGCCGCGCGCGGCAGGTAGTCTACTGGCCGTTCCTGGACAGTGACATTGCGAACCATGTCGGAGCGTGCCCGGCCTGCCAGCAGTACCTGCCCAGTCAGCAGAAGGAGCCGCTGATGCCGGAAAAGACGCCATCACGAGTGTTTGAGGCTGTCTCCGCTGACTACTTCGCCTGGGCCGGCCGCACGTTCCTGGTATACGCGGACCGGCTGTCCGGGTGGCCGTTTGTGTCGCACGTGGCCGGCGAGGCGACTGCCAGAGACCTGGTCTGCAGCCTGCGCCAGATATTCGCGGCCACCGGCGTGCCCACCACCCTCCGGACAGACGGTGGACACCAGTTCACCGCCCGGCTCACCCGAGAGTTTCTGCGCCGCTGGGGAGTGGAGCACCAGATCTCTACACCGCACTACCCTCAGTCTAATGGGCACGCCGAGTCGGCGGTCAAGGCCGCCAAACGGCTCATCCAGAAGGCGACCAGTAGCGGCGAGCTCGACATGGACGCCTACGCGCAGGGGCTGCTGGAGCTGCGCAACACGCCGCGCGCCGACGGCCGTTCTCCGGCTCAGGTCCTGTTCGGCCACCCGCTGAGATCGGCAGTGCCGGCGCACCACCGGGCCTTCGCCGACTGCTGGCAGCGGGCGGCGGACGACTGTGACGCCAGGGCCGCCGCGCAGCAACAGGAAACAGCCGAGCGGTACGACACGACAGCCCGCCAGCACAGCGCGCTCACCATGGGTCAGCGTGTGCTCGTCCAAGACCCGCGGTCGGGGCTGTGGGACCGCGTCGGCGTCATCACGGCGGTCGGACAGCGGCGCGACTACCTGGTCCGGCTGCCCAGTGGCCGAGTCTACTGGCGGAACCAGCGCTATCTGCGACCCCAGAGATCTCTCATCTCGGAGGGCGCCGCCACACCTGCACCCGGGCGCCGGCAGCAGCTCGCTCCGAGCTCGGCACCCGACGGCACGGAGGAGACCGCCGCCGCTGCGCCGGCGGGCGGACAGCCGGCACCACCGGTGCTGCGGAACAGCGCCGACGACCCCAGCTCAGTGCGCCGTGGGACGCGCCGCCGTCGCCGTCCGGCCCGACTGACCGTGCGCTGGGCGGACCAGACGTACGACTGAGTTCGTGCGTCCACACCGTGTGTGGTGTAATTGAATTTCCCTTTTACGCTGACATTTTGTCAGCATTTGCCGGTTTTTCAATTATTTTTAATTATACCTGACATTTTTGTCAGCCTTAATTAAACGTAGTGTATTTTGATACGAAACGCCCAGAAACGAGTTTATACTGACATCGGAGCATGTCAGCCTTTGCCATGCAAATGCTGACATGAGGAATTAAACGATTTGGGCATCTGAGCCGGACGCCATGGTTTATTTCAGTTTTCCCTTCAAATTCGTTTTGGGTGGCCAACAGCTAACGCTATATGGAAGCAATCTAATCGATTGCGATTGCTTTTGCCGCATTTCCTACTGTCACACATAAAAACCGCTGAAATATTGCGCCATTAATTGTCACCATCTGTGCTCTCATTTCAAAAGATAGTTACTTGTATATGGAAGCAAAAACAACCCCTGCAAAATGACGTCATCAAAAACAATTTATTGATAATTTTACCAATTAGAAGGCCAATATTTGGATTATTTGCACTAAATCGTGATAATATGCATATAGTTGACCTTTGGAACACATTTTACTTACCATGGTACATGTAATTCTCGAGATTGGAAAAAAATATTTGACGTCATGTGGACCCCACATCACTTTGTTATTCACGCTGGAGACAAAGCTGACGACTGTTTAGGTTTTTCGGGATATGTTTGTGGGGTGGGTGCGCGTCTTATGAGTGATTGCAAGGGAAGAATGGTTTCCTGAAGATAGTTCAAGACGTGAGGTAAGTCATATTCACGAAAAGAAATATTCAAGAATCACAAATTTAGTGTAGTTGGATTTCACTGATGTTAATAAATCCAAATAGGAAAGAACCTTGGAAAGAACTGAGTGATTGAGCTAATCCTTCCAAACCCTACCTTATCTTAGGTGTATGTACACAAAATTTAGAGGCCATGTGGGCATGTAGGACCTGATCTTTACGATTTTTACTTCCTCTGTTGTTGCTAGTGTGCATGAGTTAAAAACATGAAAGTAGATAACCTTCATCGCCTTGCCTTCATCGGATGTCAAGTTAGGATTCGAGGGCATTGACGGAGTGCCAGACTGGAAAAAAATCCATGCTACCATCAACATGTCCGGCATAATTGGTGAATGGCACCAAAATTACAGCGCAGTGTCTGGCATGACTCAGTGTTCCAAAGTTTTGGAGTAAGGATGAATGAAAAAAATTGGCGGAAGTGAAATTTAAGAATTTCAGAAATTCTGGCACGAGACGATAAGATCTGACCTTAGCTTACCTTACTCACTACACTCTACATTTGAATTGAGTACCCACCTTTCCATCAGTTGATATTCTCTCATGTGATTGGAACAGTTTGGATAAAATAGGTGTGATTTCTTGGCACAAATATCAAAATTTCAGCGCAAAACTGTTTGCGCTGAATTTAGGTGCATGAGAGCCACAAGGTGTTTGGCATAGTATATGGATTTTTGCAGTCTGGAGTGAGGGGTCCAAGATATGCTTGGGTAGCAGTGGTGGCCGAACACTTTCAATTAAGGGGGGCACTGCTGACTTTGGACTTTGGTCCCATTCTTTCAATGCAAAGCCCATAGGGCTGATGTTAAAATGCCAAAATCAAAGGGGGCATGGTTCCCCGTTGCCCCCCGTTCCGCCACCTATGTTGGGTAGGTTATTTCAACTGTTGACTGCCCTGACACTCTTTACTCAAGCTTGTGGTAATAGTAATCCGAAGCCTAGCATCCCACAAAGATGCCAGATATGAGATAGGGTTCTATGAGGATCCAATCCTTTTTTACCATATTCTACCTACTCGTATAGGTACATACCTACCTACTTCATGGAAAAACATTTGCATGCATGCAAGTAGGTACCTACCTACGTGCTTGCTTGAAGTATGAAGTTTCTTGGGCACGCAAACAGTGAATTATATGTGAGGCCTTGGTGTTGCTGCTTACAAACTGACTTCTGATATTATTCCATCATGCTATACTGACAAAAGAGCAAATATTCAATATGTGTCTGTTAAGGTATTGGGATGTATTTATGGCTCACCTGCTAAGTGGTGCTGATAGGCTTCCTCACCAGACCCTTCAATGGGGAAAAGGACAGACAGGAAGCATGAAGATAGAGATGCGCCAGCCGCAAATCTCAAATGGGTAAAGCATGGGAGAGGTTGGGATGGTGTGTCTGCTGGTTATGTGCTGATGCTGTTCATTAGGTATAGTGCTTAAAGGTAACATCTTGCACCTTAACATTAGTTTTGAGCTGACATAGTTATGTAGCCAAGTCTGGGGCAGTCAGGCTTAGAAACCATGTTCTGCCTTGGTCCCAAGTTTTACAAGTGCCTGGTGTTGAAGAAGTTTGTTCCTTCTATAACACATTGTGCCTTCACAAGGCAGTATCTCTAAACCATTGGTGTTGGTCTACTGATCTTCTTCTAGCATCTCCATGTAAAGTGGGGCTAGAACGGCGCTGAGCGGGTTGCCCATAGCCAAGCCTGATTTTTGGACGAATTCTCTGCTGAAAAATTGAAAAGACCCGAAGCTGACGCATAGTTGGACTAAGCCGATAAAATGTTCTTTCGGTAGGGGGGCGCTGTGTGTCATCGATGCCCTGTAGGACGCGGCGAACCGCACGCATGGCTACTTCTACGCTCACATTAGTGAAAAGTGACTTCACATCAAACGAGACCATCCTCTTCCCTCTCACATCTGCGTCTTTTAGCCGGTCGAGAAGGTCAGCGGAACTCTTCAGGTGTGAGCAGCTGATGCTCCCCAACGCGGCTGATAGTTTGGTGAGACATTTTGCGAGGCGGTGTGGGGCACTGTCCACCCCCGAGGTGATGGGGCGCATGGGGATGCCTTCTTTGTGAAGCTTTGGCAGACCCATCGTCTGTGCTGATTTTGGGTTTCTCTTCCAAAAGGTACTGTAAACGCTTGCCCCTTTCTGATCGCCTTAGAAGTTTTCTGGCTTCTTTGTTAAACTTTTCGGACTCTTTCTTACAAGAGTCGGAAGGAACTTCCTCGTAGACGATGGCATCTGGGATCTGATAGGAGTTCGTTCATTTTTTCGTCATATGTTGAACGGTCCAGGATGACAACACCTCCACCCTTGTCACTTGAGCTAATGACGATGTTGTCGTCTTTAGCGAGGTCTTTCAGGCTAAGCATATAGCGTCTGGGAATCGAGAGATGAGAAGAGGAAGCCATCGTCTTCAGACATGTGACAAATCCTTGTTTGAAGCCTTTGTCCACCTCCGAGTCAGTAGACTTGATGTTTCTCATCATGAAGGCTAGGTAGCTTTTACTGTTCTTGCCAGTGTCAAATTTGAGTCCCAGTGACAGCGCTTCAGTTTCTACTTGACTGAGTGGCCGACTAGACAAGTTGGTGATCAGGCGAGCATCTCCAGCATGTTTTCAAGAGCTTGATGCGCAGAGCCGGGACAGTTTGCCCAGTAACAGTTGTAGGTGCCTTTTCGCCTTGCGTTTTAATTGTTCCTCGAGGAGTGCTGGAAAGGGCTGCCGGAAACGACTTCTTAAAATGGCTGCTCTGTTGCTTAAAGTTTCGGAGTTTCCACACCATCCTCTAGATAAGCTCTTGCAGCCTTTGAACGGGTGCTGTTTCGAGTACAGTTGACGAGGTGCAGAACGAGGGAGAACTTGCTCTTCTATGCAGTCGTTCAAAAATAATGCTTGGTTCTCAGTTCTAAAATATTTCTCGCGTAGATAATACTCTCGTCTTATTTCCAGCTAACCTCGAGGAACAATTAAAACGCAAGGCGAAAAGGCACCTCTAACTGTTACTAGATAAACTGTCCCGGCTCTGCGCATCAAACTCTTGGAAACATGCTGGAGATGCTCGCCTGATCACCAACTTGTCTAGTCGGCCACCCAGTCAAGAAGAAACTGAAGCGCTGTCACTGGGACTCAAATTTGGCACTGGCAAGAACAGTAAAAGCTAGCTAGACTTCATAATGAGTAACATCAAGTCTACTGACTCGGAGGTGGGCAAAGGCTTCAAACAAGGGTTTTTCACATGTCTGAAGACGATGGCTTCCTCTTCTCATCTCTCGATTCCCAGACGCTACATGCTTAGCCCGAAAGAGCTCGCTAAAGACGACAACATCGTCATTAGCTCAAGTGACAAGGATGGAGGGGTTGTCATCCTCGACCGTTCAACATATGACGAAAAAATGAACGAATTCCTATCAGATGCCACCGTCTATGAGGAAGTTCCTTCCGGCTCTTGTAAGAAAGCGTGCGAAAAGCTTAACAAAGAAGCCAGAAAACTTCTAAGGCGATCAGAAAGGCGCAAGCGTTTACAGTACCTTTTGGAAGAGAAACCAAGATCAGCACAGATGAAGGGTCTGCCAAAGCTTCACAAAGAAGGCGTCCCCATGCGCCCCATCACTTCGGGGGTGGACACTGGACAGTGCCCCACACCGCCTCGCAAAATGTCTCACCAAACTATCAGCCGCGTTGGGGAGCATCAGCTGCTCACACCTGAAGAATTCCGCTGACCTTCTCGACCGGCTAAAAGACGCAGATGTGAGAGGGAAGAGGATGGTCTCGTTTGATGTGAAGTCACTTTTCACTAATGTGAGCGTAGAAGTAGCCATACATGCGGTTCACCGCGTCCTACAGGGCATCGATGACACACAGCGCCCCCCTACCGAAAGAACATTTTATCGGCTTAGTCCAACTATGCGTCAGCTTCGGGTCTTTTCAATTCGTCAGACGAGTGATTCAGTATTGATTGTTTTGTCCTCATGATCATGAAGCTCGTTTTAGTCTTGTTCATTTTCAGAGAGTTTCGTGGAAACCACTTTTCTAGTGCGGAAATAGAGCACTCGACTCAATCTCTGAGGTCAGTGATGCCGTTCTCGGAAGGATGGGCCCTGTCGTTCGCGCAAGAAATTATTTTACCATAAGGAATAAAATAATATGTCTCCTGTCAGTGAGATAAGTTTCAAACCAGTGGGAAGGCATGCCACACCAGGCCAGCTTCTCGAT